CCCTCCGGACATCCGCGCCCGTCGCACCCACCAAACTCACTCCTCTGCCCCCGTTCCCTTCCCGATCTCCCCGGCCCTCGCCGCCTGTCCCGGCTCCTGCACATGCGCACACCCCGGCCCAGACATCTCCTCAAACGGGTGGAATGTCCACCTGGACTTCACCCAGTCCAAGGCCAGCGTCACGTCCGGAACCAAGGCCGGCGCGACCAAGCAGGTTTCCCTGCCGGAACTGACGCAGTTCTCCCACGTTGCCGTGGTGCGTTGCCTACATTGCCCGCCTGTCCACCTTTCGCCCTTCCCCAGCCCGCCCCGTGTCCCCCGCATTTGGTTGTGCTCACACATGCTGGAGAAGACCCCGGATGGCAATCGCATTGTCCTGGTCCGGCCAAATCTCGAGACCGCCGAGAAGCTGGACGATTGGGCGGTGATCGTTCGGCCGATCACGCCGCAGGACCCGGACGTGCCGGCCTCCTTCCGGCAAACGCACATCTTCCGCATCGGGGAGTTCATCAGCGCCTTCCACCCTCCGCGGGTGGAGGGCCCCGGCATGCGCATGTCCACCGACCCGGCCCGGCGCTGGCTGGCCTCGCGGCGGTTCACCAACCAGGGCGTCGAGACGGCCGACGATGCTGGCGAGCCGATCTTCACCGTTGACAATGAGGGCATCACCCTGCGAACGGCCGTCACCAAGAGCCCGTTCATGGCCGGGCGCCTGTGTCGCGCCAAGTTCGATGGCAATGGCGTCTCCTTCATCGGCTGACTGTCGGGCCGCCATCAGACGCGCGAGGGCGCTCGGGGCCTCCCTCTGTCTCTCCCTCTTGCCGCTGCGCGCTCGCCCTGGCGGCTCCAATACAAATGTCGAAAACCAGCAGCAGAGCTCCCCCCGCCGCACCCCCCTCTGTGGAGGGTGCTCGCTCGCCTCATCTTGACCGCCTGATCCCCCCCCCCCCCCCCGACATCTGTGCACGCACACACACACACACACACACACCCTTCCCGCCACCGCCGCACACGGGGGTAGCCCCGCAAGCGCATCTGTATGTGTTTATATTTATAAATTGGGAATGAGGGAGAGGGAGGGAGAGAAAAGGGAGAGGCCCTGCAGGCATACACATGGGCGGGGGGAGGATGGGGGAGGGGATGAAAAAAAAAACACGGTACACATGTGAACCACCGGGATCATCCCCTCATGTGGAGGGAAGAAGCACAGCTCCTTCCCATGTGCATTGGCCAGTCACCACACACCAAGGGGGCGGGGGGGGGGGGGGGCCCCTCTCGGCCTTTTCGGGAGGGGGTCGTCGTGCCCTTCTTAGTCAATGACAACGGCGTTCATCTGGAAGGAGCCGAGGCCATCGCGGCCGGACTTCTTGTTCCGAGAGCTACGGATGATGAAGACCGAGATGACCAGGATGATCATGACACCAATGGCCGCGCCGAAGGCGATGCCAATGATGGCCGAGGTGGACAGGCCGCGAGAGGCAACAACGCAAAGATCAGCCTCGGACTTGAAGCCAGACGAGCAGGCCAACACGCAGGCACCCTCCTCCCGGAAGTAGTCAGCCTGGCACTTGGTGCACTCGCAGGCATTGCCCGAGGAGGTGGCCTGGGCCTCGTCACAGGAGTCAATGGTGCCAGCACAGGGGACACAGGCAGCCACATTCATGGGGCGGAAGTGAGTCGGCGCGCAGGCAACCACACAGGCACCGTCCTGCAGGAGGAAGCCATCCTGGCAGGAGGCACACGAGCAAACGAAGTCACCGGAAGTGGAGTCCAGAGTGGCGGAGGCGGTGGCGCAGTTTTGGCCGGCAAGGGCAGTGCTGCAGTCGACACACCCGTTGCTGGCGGCCGAAGAGGAAAGAATGCCGGCAGCAGGCTCAGAGCCCGGAACAGAGCCGGAAGCAGGGGCGGAGCCGGAGGCGGGAGCGGAGCCGGAGGCGGGAGCGGAGCCGGAGGCGGGAGCGGAGCCGGAGGCGGGAGCGGAGCCGGAGGCGGGGGCGGAGCCGGAGGCGGGAGCGGAGCCAGAGGCAGGGGCAGAGCCAGAGGCGGGAGCGGAGCCAGAAGCAGGGGCAGAGCCAGAGGCGGGAGCGGAGCCAGAGGCAGGGGCAGAGCCGGAGCCAGGGGCAGAGCCAGAGCCAGGGGCAGAGCCGGAGGCGGGAGCGGAACCAGAGCCAGGAGCGGAGCCGGAGCCGGGGGTAGAACCGGAGCCGGGGGTAGAACCGGAGCCCGGAGCGGAGCCGGAGCCAGGGGCGGAGCCGGAGCCAGAGCCGGGGGTGGAACCGGAACCAGAGCCGGGGGTGGAACCGGAACCAGAGCCCGGAGCGGAACCGGAACCAGAGCCGGGGGTGGAGCCAGAGCCAGAGCCGGGGG